GTGCCCAACAGCAGAGTATCAATATTCTTGCAGCGCATTTGCAGTGCTGCAAGGAAGACAGTTGAGGCAGGGCAGGGAAACGTTACACTTCTTGTGCAGTAACGGCTTTAGGGTGGGGATGCTTGAAGTGAATAATTTGTTTTTTTGCTTCGGCTTCGGCTTCGGGTGTTTTAGGGTGTCTAGGCTTTGGGTTTGTTTAGGGTGGTTGGTCTGTAGGACTGTCTTTGGTTTGGGATTGCTTAGGGTTTGGGGTTGGACAGGGTTTGGGGCTGTTTAGCGCTAATGGGTCAATGGTTTTGAGTCGTTAAATCTCACCCGAGCGCTGGCCTAAATGTTTTTCCAGTTCTTAGAACCATCTCCAGCGCTTCTGCCGCCATGGTTCTGAGCGTAGGGGGAGAATAAGGGGGGGAGGTGTGCGGTAACTTCCATCCGCGGTAGATGCCGCCGCAATGCCAACATCAACGGAGTCGAACCGACTCGTATTGGAGAATCCTCGAATACGCGACAATCCGCCATTAAGCTCGTGAGATGCTTAAGCAAGGGCCAGTGTCCGACCAGATGCACACCTCTTTAGCGGAAGCCGCCGCGAAGCCAGCATCAATAAAATCAGCAAATGAATCCACTCGCGTTTGAGAATCAAGCTGAACATCGTGACATCTTCCAAACACTGGCAAGAGTGGAATGAAATGTGATGAACTGCGAACCCCATGAACGAAAACTAGAAAACGGTGTACGTTGCAAATTACAAAATCAGACAAAAACTGGCAAGCGTGGGCCGAAAGTGCTCCTTATTTACGGAAATCTGGTTTAAACCGCAGCAACAAGGCTCGTTCCGAAAGCCGTTCGGGCTTGGGGTTGTTTAGGATGGTGTAGGGTTAGGATTTGGGTTGTTTACAGTTTCCATTTTTTCGGGAGGCTATTGGGTTGTCCAGGGTGGTGTAGGGTTTAGGGCTTTTGGCTGTTCAAAGCAGGTTATCTAGGGTTTGGGGTTTGGGGCTGCTTAGGGTTTAGGGCTTGGGGGTTGTTGGTGTTTCTTGGCCTGTTGCCATCACAGAACCCAATGCGATACCACAGGTGGGTGCTTCGATAAAGGGAACGTGAGCTATAATCTAACCTCCTTAAAAGAGGTTATATAGGGGATTCTATAGGGGAGTATTATAGGGGCTTTTTGCGGGATACTAGGAGTTTAGACTATAGCTCATACAAGAGATCTGATTCAGTGCGCCTGCGATGTGACTCGTGGTGGAATGTGTGCTTTTGGCAGATCCTGATCACAATTCTGCAGAATGCAACCGGGTGAGCTCATACGGGGTTTCGCCATAACCAGCGCAAAGGATGTGATGGTTGTTTGGAACTTTTTTCATTTCTGCTTGTGTAGGGATTTGGGCGGCATACCCGCACAAGCAAATCAAACGCAGAAAGCAAACCTCGCAGCGATTTACAGCATTCCAGCCAAATCTGGCAGAGTAAGTCACTGTGAACTTGTGCACGCCGAAATTGTGTGCTTTGCTGGAACGACGGAGGAAAAGATCTTTGACCTGTATCTTTGGAACGAGGCTGGCTCGATGCAGTGTTCATTCCAAGCCAATACTCATTTTGCCGGGTGTTGAAATCCGCCTACAGGTCTTGCAGGAGGAAGGGGACGGCGGCAAAGTCGTCGCAGCATCCTTTCTGGACGTGTGTTCAAGTGCTTCAAGTGTGGGGTTGGCTTAACTTACACGTGGAGGCAGTATGTTGAAGAGACTGAGGTCTGTGAGCCAAAGCCTATCCATTCAGATGTGCCGTTCCGAACGTATGCAGTGACCTCGGCTTATGATTATTATTACTATCATTGCTTCTATTAATACTATTGCTATTATTCATATTCTTCTTATTCATACGGTTATTATTACTATTCATATAATTACCACTATTAGTATTAGTACTATATTACTGTTATTACTGGCATGCTTTTTGCCGGCTGGAAGCTGCTCCTTGGCTCCAGAGCCCAGTGTTTTCTGCAGGTCATGAAGATGCGGTCCAAGAAGCCTTAAGCTCGGTCAATGGGATGAGAGCTACTTGTAGTAAGCCTTATAAAGCCCTCATATAACCCTTATGTAACCCATATATAACCCCTATATAAACCCCTACATAACCCTTATAAAGCCCCTATATAACCCCTGTATTCCCGCAATATAACTCTAATATAACCACTGTATACTCCCCCAAGGATGAAAGCTACGAAGGTAGGGAAGATCACCGAGGTCAGGTAGCACACAGGCAGCGCTTTAGGTCCAGGGGCTGGTTCTGCCGAGAAAAATTGTGTCCACCAAGACGATGGAGGATATTTCTCAGCCGAATCCGGAAGCACCAAACTGGCAATCTTAGGTCCCTACGCGAGGCTTCCATGGAAGAGCAGTTCAGAAAGTCTTTGGTCTGCGGCTTGAGGGCAAATGTGTCTTCCTTTCTTTGATGACTTTTTTCACATTCTGAGTTCAACCTCCTGAACTTGCCTGAACATGTTGGCGCATGGAGCCCAGCAGATATGCAGAAGAGCAGCATTGCGCAAAGGTGCTTGTGGTGTCAATTGCTTGTCTCAGTCGAGGTTCTTCCCCTCCAAGAGGTGCTGGAAGACAACCAGTTTTACTACATTGTTATGGAGCAGGCCTTCCGGCTTCGTTATTCGAGACAGGTTTGAGGCATGTTGGTAATTTATCCTGACACATCCATCGAACTGTCTTGATTTCTCTCGAATGATGTGTGTTCGCGCTAGGGACCTGCCTGCGCTCAGGCCACTGGAGGTTCATTTTTCGGTGGCTTGTTGAAAGAGTTTGAGGCGGGTCTGGCTGAGTCACAGGTGAAGTCTTATTCAAACAGCGTGAATGTTTCCCACGCAGGGAGGGATAATGCGGGTCCATTGCATCACCATGGCAGGATGGAGTGATGCCTCCTCAAGAAGTTCGGCGGTTGATGCGCGGGATCCTTGAGGCCCTTTAGTCTAGCCGAAGAGAGCGTTGTTGCATGTTGTTGCAGTTTGGCCCGGAGAGGCGATTGGGCACGTCCACGAGCAGGGCATGATTCATCGTGACCTGAAGCCGGACTGCCACCTTGGTCATCAGTGGCTCTAGCGCTGCCTAGACAGTCTGACTGACAGCGGAGTAGTTGCCGAGCAGGACAACTTGGTCATGCGATTGTGTCCGGACCCAGGAACAGTCGGCAAGCCAGTAAGAACCAGAAATGAACACGATGTTCTAAGGCGACGATGACATGAGTCCAACAGGCAAGTCTCGTCAAGTGGCCATCATTGACTTCGATCATGCTGACCCAGTCGCGTACTGAGTTCTGTTTACCTCGACTTTCTTGCTCCCTCGGTTTTGTATGTGTCGAACTTGACAAACAGCCTATGTTCTGAATGCAACGAGGACTACAAGGCCTCTGCAAAGACTCCGAGATCCTGCGAGTACTTTTGCGGCACTGTTTATTTCAGTGCGCCGGATCCCTAGTCGATGGAGCATTTGGAAGGGCAACAATGAAATCTCGCAGACATGAAGTGAAACATGGTCAGTGCCTGGTCACCTCGAGGAGCGAAATTAGCCTGACGCGGGTTTTAGTGTCAGGGCATCGGTGTCGGGCTGACGTGGGCTAACAGCGTGCCATAGAAGCGAGACACACGCCTAACGTTGCTTCATTTGATTTTGGTTATCACCAGTAGCATCAGTTTTGCATATACGCGATGGATGCTAGATCCAGAAGATGTTGAAGTTGTCTGTGCAGGCCTGAAGCCTTCCTGGGCTACTTCTCGCCCGCCAGCGATCTCTATAGCATAGGCTCGGACCAAGCGATGCCGCATGTTGATTGCGATCCGGGCGAAGCTTTTGCCCCCATTTGTGTATTTCAAAACGGATGGAGGCATCATTCTTTACCTCTTGATGGCGGGGAAGATGCCCTTTGACAACGCCCTGTTTCAAGAGGCTGGATGCAACACATGCACATGCTGCTATGGAGGCGGCACGTATTTGTGATTGTGTCAGGAAATGTCTGTGCTTCAACAGTCCCCGAAAAGCCGCGGCTGGACCATGCAACTTGCTCAGTACATCCACACGTACCTGTTTGGCAGGTGACGGCAATTTAGTTTCAATAGCCACTTCTGCTTGTGACAAGATTGATTCTTACTCGATCGACCCGCTTGAACTCCAATTGCCTGCGTCTGGCTTCAGGAATGTGTACAGGCGATTAAAGGCAGAGCCTATTGACTGGAGGCAGGCGAGACTGGTCTGGCATGCAAATCAGCATCTTTCAAGCTTTTTGAAGGTGTGACCCCTGGCCAAAGCAGCCTTTGCCCATGCCTTATCTTGAGTGCTTGGAGGGCTGTCTCTGGTTGGGTAGCAAGACGTCCGCCGTCGAGTTGCAGGTGCTGCAGCTTCTGCCAGTGGCTCCTGGCTTTTGAGCCAGGCAAAAGGCCCTTCGCTTGTCACAGCAAGAGTGTCATCGGATTCAGGTTTCCGTGAAGTTTTCTGCGTAAGGCCATCGTCGGCTGAAGAGGCGCTGCAGCATGAGTGGTTTGTTCGGAGGCCCAGCCAGAGGACAGCCTGCATGCAACCTATGTTTATTTGAGCCCTTCAAGGTAATTATTTAAGACTTGAGGCTTTGGGGAGATTAGAACCCCCGAAGCACAGCCTTGAGTATGGTAGGGGTGCATTAGATTGGGATGTCAGGCCCTGAAAAAAAGACTGGTGCATCCTAGTAAGATGATGCTCTTGACCGCAGCATTCCAAATCTGAGGTCGATGATTGATCGTGTGGGCTGTGACCCATGACCACAGCTCGTTTTCAAGGAATTGGGCATTTTCCATCCAGACATGTAATTATTCCATTGTAATTCTCATGCACGACTTTGTAATCTGACGAGGTGCATTTCTGTTGCTTGGATTCCCCTGCCCCAGCACTTGCTGAAGAACTGTCTGTCCTTTGAAAAGGCGTGATTGTATCTCTTCCTGAACAATGGATTCATTGCAGAAACAGGTTCAACTCCATGGTTTCAAATAGCAAGCTGACTAGACTATGACTGCCTTCAGATTCAACTAGCACTGGTTTTTGGTCTGCTGGAAGGATCGCTCTTTCAAAGTGGCCGAGTCTTTAATGCATTTTCCTGCAAGACCGGCAGCTTTGACGCCCTAGCCGTTCATTGGCTGACAGCAGGGCCGGGGTGTGTCTGGATGAAGAAGATTCCCAGTCCGAAATATCTAGCTTCTAGAAACCGTTTCAACGCGAAGTGTTGAAACGTGAGGCCCAAGGGGGGCTCCTAATGTGTCTTAAAGACGTGGCCTGCATGTTGAGGAGCTATAATCAGCACGCTACAAGGATCTTTGAGCATACTCTTTGCTGTCAAGTTGAAGAAGCGCGGGTCCTGAAGGGTCATCAATACTCTAGGATTCCTAACGTGAAGGAAGAAGGAAAGCCCTGAACCGGGCCATCGTTTTTTGATTGTTGAATCGCTCTTCCAAAGTCTTGTCTCTGTGTGGTGCAGAGCATCTCATCACGGAGGTCACTTGCAAAGTTAATGGTACTTTCGAGCCGATCCAGCGGCTCCATGCGGGAGGCTTTTCTAGCTTAGACTTTGGTTTGTTGCCAAGCAATGTTCTTTTAGCAAGGAGAGCTTCCAGCAGGATCTGGCATGGTGATGTGGTGCGAGAGGAGGAATGATCGGAGTGGTTGCGGCCACATCACCTTGCCAATGTGCTTCTTATTAGCTTCGACGGGTCGTGTTGGGCAGCTGACGTGAAGCATCAGCAATACAGCTCATGCATGTCAGACCTTGGCACACAAGATGCGAAATCTTACTCTGTGGCCGAATTACAAATTCCACTATGCCGCGCATGCAGACGCCAGTCCTGCGTACTTCACCTGCTTCAGGAACCACTTTTTGCCGTTAGCGCGTTATGAGCAGGACTGTCACTGCAATGCCGCGTGCCGCGCCGTGCCTCGCACAGTTGAGAGCTGAAATGCCATCAATCAGGTAACGTCTTGTTGTGGGCCCATATCAGTCCAAGTGCAATGCAAGTGGAGTGGCGTCCGGAGCACGTTGTGCGGGCAAGCAGAGTGTGTGTTGCCTGGACTTATTGAGCTCATCTCCTTACCCTCGGGGGTTTGTGGGATGCAGTGACGGAAAAGGCCGATGCATGTCATGTGCTAGTTGATGGCACCAGCCCTCCAGAAAAATCGACCCTCTCTGCCTTGACTGCCATTGGCCATGATGAGAGTTCACAATGTTCGTGTGGCTCTTTCGGGCAGAGTAGACTTTGTCCCTTGCTCTCAGCGTAGAGGTTGGCAGTGCCTGGTTTGAAGTATTCAAGACAGTCGGTCTGGCACCTGGGGAGGCTCGTCGTCTCTGTGAGAGTCATGGAGGGATGGAAAAAGCTGCTGCTTGCAGCAGCAGGTGCAGCAGGCCAGGCGGCAGCTCAGCAAAGCAACTTCTGCAGCCTGTTCCGCTTAGGCGCCGGCTGTGTTCTGTATTACCTCTTACGAGAAGACGCAGAAAACAAGCAGCAGAGAGCTCAATGGGAGCAGAGATGCACCGTGTGGTTCTCGACACGAGTCCTGGCTGAAACACAATTCGTTCAGGATGCCTGCTGATGCAGACGGCGAGGAGAAGGTCGCGGAACGCCGTCTTCCAGCAGCCTTGTGCTGCAGCACCACCATTTACCCAACACTGTGCTGTGACGCAGGAGAAGAAGCTAACTCCAGAAGGAGAGCTGGCGCAGGCATGGCACCTTGCCTTCACGCTTGATATTGCCGAACATATCCCACAGACTTGTGAGCGCTGTATGAGGTACAAAAGGGCTCCATGTCAGTGCCGCTTCATTCAGCCTGTGCAGGTGCAGCAGATCCTTTCTGAGATAGTCTCCTCACAGGAGAAGATGCTTGTGGATCCTGGCATGTTTAGACTGCTACCTGCAGATCAGCTCACATCAACTCCAGTTCAGGCCTTCCAATATCTGATGGACAGAGACAGAGCACATGCATTATCTTTGCTACTCAGTACAGAAATGAGCAACGGACAGCATGGCCAGGGCCACATGAAGAATTTGACGAGGGAGCTGATGTCCAAGCGGAGCCCCCAGCAATGTCGAGGTGTGCAGAGTGCTGGGGTGTGTCCAAGATCCACTACGAGTGTTTGGCTGGCATGAGTTCTGCCCCAAAAAGCAAGCATGGTGGCCAAAATGGCAGTCTCCGCACCTCAGAGACGTTTTGGGGGATCGGGGGCTGGGCTAAGGAAGCTGAGTTTTGACCAGACCTACAAGCGGCTGAAGGAAGTGCAGCGCACACGGCTCGCTTCTTCGCTTGGGCTGGGGATCTCCTGGACAATTTTAACCTGAATCCGATATAATCAGATGGTCTGTATTTTTGAACACTCTGGGTTCTGCCATGATGATGCCAGGCCGGATGATCCCCTGGAACGGCCGGGAACATGAGGTTGCAAGAGAACATGCCTGCAAGGCCAAAAGTGAAACCAAGGTACGGCCTCACTTTCCAGCAGTTCGATGCCCTACTTGGCAAGCATCAGAATGATCCCAAGGTGCTCCTGGCTCGACATGTGTAGTCCGCCGACGTTCTGTCCGTGTTACCCATGCTACTCAGGTGAAGGAGGGCATCCATCACATCATGGGAATGCCCGCGAAGACGGACAGCCCTCAAGAGGTCAGATCAGATTTCTTCGTCAATTTCACTCGTGCACTGCTGGGTAGGGTGTCCTTGCTCCCCTGGCTGAACGAGTTGTCTGAATTTTCAGCAGAGCATGCAGAGCCAATCTGTCTGCTCAAGCAAGCCGAACTTGAGAAGAAACATGCTGGATTGTTCGAGTTCGCAAGCTCAGCCTGCACATCAGGTGCCTGTTGTCTCAGCCGACAAGGTCATCGAGGTTCATAAGTTCATGCTCGAGGATCGGCAGTGGATGGTGGCTGATGTGAACTTACGTACTGTGTCCTCCCTGTGGGCAGAATCGAGTCTGGACCTGCCCTGTCGAGGAGGTGGAAAAGCTGGTTGAGCAGTTTAAGACACTGAAGAACCAGGCTGTTTGGCATAGGATGCGTGCTGTGCTGAGAGGTAGGTTTAATCTGGTCTAAATAGCTCTGAATCTGCCTCCAGGCGACCTACGACAGCAAGACGGTCACGCTCACTGCACAGGCTATGGTTGGTGCCAAGGCCAGAAGCAACAGATTTTACAGCAGGCCTTCTCATGTCATGGCAGAGGTCGAAGAGAAGTTCGATCTAACTTCAGAAGACATTGAGCGTGCGGTGGTCCGCTACCACGACGCTTGCTCGCAAGTTTGGGCTTGGATTCGGTGGGACCTCATCGAACGCATGAGCTTGCTTTGGCTGAGGAGGAGCTGGCCACGAACAAGGATCTCAGTACTGTAGATATCAGCCCTGCGACATGGAATCAGCTGCAAGATGCGCGCTGTCAGGAGTTCGCAAGTGTGAACATGCAAATGCAAAAGGCAATGTCCTACCTCATGGGTGCTGCTTGGATTAATGGATGCCTTTTCCAGACTTACTGCTAGCTGGTCATTTGCAAGCGCATTCCTGTGATCAGCCGAGGCAGAGAAAGCCTGACGTCAGTTGTCCAGGAATCATTCTGAACCCGCCGAGCCCCGCACCCTTTAAAAGGTGCGAGTCTTGGGTGCCACAGTTTAGATTCTAGATTGCAGTGTTTTTGCTTGGCCTTGGCCAAAACATGTTGCTCGAACACAATTGTGGCAAAACTCAGAAGCACGGTTACGTTCTCTCTCATCTCTCTCTAAAGTCCTGCGGACTCCAAGTGTTGCAAGAGACAGCGCCATGGTGCAGTAGAGCCGTCGCTGACATCAAGGCTTTCCAGACTATGCCCAGATCGCCTCGCAATGGAAACACAAAAAGGTCAGGCTCGTTACAGTCCACCTCAAAAAGCTGAGAGCTGAGGAGATCTGTGGCAATGTCGCTTCGCACGAACACACGTTTCGGTAGCAGCCGTAGACTTTGAAGCTGGCAGGGGCGCATCTTGTGCTCCCTCTGTGACGCTTTGACCATGATCCTTACGACTTTCCCTCAGATCTTGCGCAGCCAGGCTGGTGTCACAACTGCCAGCTTGCGCAGTGTTAGCTTCGCGAGTACAGCGCGGAAGCGCATGGAGCATGTGCTCATCAGAGTTGCGATCAAAAACTGAGCTTGCACCCTTGGTCTCAGAGCAGAGAACAGAACCTGCGTGGCAAGCTGAAATGCCTGAAATTTCGCTCAATGGGCCAATACCGGTGCTTTGCAGATTAGCCGTTCGGCAGACGGCGGTCGAGTTGAAGAGCTATGAATTAACCGCTAAACAAAATGTTTTCGAATAGGATGTGTTGATGGAAGATCTGAATCAGACCTCCCGTTGGGGGTGGCTTCCTGATCCTGAGCATTGATTAGGACGACAGTCTGAAGGTGCAAGATCTGGGACTAATGTGGTCCATTACGTACTTGCTTGTGGACTGAATATTGTTACAAACTGGAAGATTTCTGAGTTTGTGCTGTCCTGCGCAAGAAAGCTGACCTGACTGGCCAAGAATGAACGCCCTGGACTGCTTGACGAATGCTGACATGATCTGAGATGTTTTCTGTGCTAGGGGCCAGACCCGTAGGGAGCAAAGGTCAAGATAACGTAGCTGCTGTGCTGCATCTGTAAGTTAATCTAGCCGTGAAAATTGTGAACGGCTGCCCCTGTGGGTGCGCGTGATGGACTGCGATGGTGAGCATGCTGTTGGCGAGAGTGTTTGCGACATCAGATGTGTACTCACCCTCGAGGTTTGCATTAGTAACAGCTATAGAAAAATGCGTCCGCATCAGCTATTTCTTAGCTACGTCAGTGCTGCAACAGGCGGCGGCAATAGCGCCACATAAATCCAAAGGTTCAAAGGCTGCGGGCCACGGCACAAGTTGGTCTGGGCAATCCAATTACTGAATCAGTTGCTTCAGAAGTTGACTCGCTCGTCATCTGGTGGTAGCATTTTTGTGAAGTAGTTGCCACCGCACTTCGAACCGCGGCAACTGTGGCGTGCAGCGTGGGCTGACCTGTCCAGGGTATTGGATTCATTTTTTTGAGCAGCTTTCGGCCCAAATTTTTAGTCATGCGCTAATTCTAAACGGGAGGGCAGTGGCTGTCCCAGTGGTTCAGCAATCATGGCGCGTGCAGCTTTTCAAACTGGTGGCTTGTTTGCATGGCTAGAGGTGATGGGAGGTGTTGATATATTGCCGTTTTGTCCAAAGCATGAATTCAAATCGCGGCCTAATCTCCTGAAAACTTGGTGCGGAAGGCCTGTTGCTTGGCTTGCTGAAGTTGGCTCGGAGCGATGATTGCCAGGTGGGGGCATTCGCAGGGACCATGGTAAGTGCATCAAGAGTGCCTCCAAAACTGCACCTGAACTGCACCTGCACTGCACCTGGACCAATGGCTGCGAGGCTGAGGACGAGGTGAAGCTTATGCAGCTGAATCAACACCGGACGGGACGCGGTGATGAGTGTCCTGGTTTCAAGGTGTGCCCGCCGTGGCCACTTCCGTACAAAACAGGTGAGCAACTTGGAGTTAAAAGACCCTTTTCATTCAATCGTCTCCTCACGAAAGTTTGACCAGCAGGGAGTTAAAGGAGGGTCCTCCTCGGTGCAGTCTGCGAGACCTCCAGGGAATGTGTGCCATCCCCTCTCTGTGACAGGTATTCTTATTTGTGGTGAGTGGAGAATACTGTAAGAGAATATCATTCCGAGATAATCACTATATAATACCTTACCTTATTCCCTGCGTATCGTGCACCACCATTTGATGCCACGAAAGTAAAGCCGTCTCAGCTCCAGCTTCAAGGGCTCATTCCTCTCAATCTCAGTAACCTCCTCCCCCTGATATTCAAGCCCCAACCCCGCCTAATATTAGATATTCCTAACATAATTTAACATGCCACAAAGGGGGTATTAGGGGGAGGGGCGTCGTGTTGTCTTGAACTTGGGCTTTAGGTATGAAGTTTGGACTGTGCAGCTGTCATCTATGCAAGATAAGCGCTGCTACTTCTACATCAGTACACCACATAAATACAAAGAGACCGCCATCTTGTACAATCTATGCCCCAGACACTTCCAAATCTACAGAAACCCCTAAACCCCAAACCCTAAAGACTAAACCTTAAACCCTCAACCCTAAACCCTAAACCCTAAACCCTAAACCTTAAACCCTAAACCCTTAGTTAGAGTAGCAACTAGGTAGGTGTTAACCCGAGGGAGGTAGGAACCCCGTGTCGTTCAGGCAGGCATTAAAAGTCCGAGGGGTTGTAAAAAAGAACAACTCTAATTCTGAAGACATGAAGTGATTGACGTGATGCAAAGGTACCCCGAGGAGTATCCATGGGACCCCATTCCGGAATTTCCTGAAGGCTTTGCTTGGGGCCTCGGGACCGCAGCCTATCAGATCGAGGGGGCCTACAACGAAGGCGGCCGCGGAGCCTCCATTTGGGACACCTTCACTGGTGCCAACACTGTGGGAATGCCAGGTGCCGTGTGCAAAAAGGCTCCTTGCCCGGTCAACTCTGTCATCGCCGTGAAGGGCGCCACTGGAAACGTTGCTAACAACCACTACCACATGTACAAGAACGATGTGAGAGCCATGAAGTCCATGGGCCTGAAGTGGTATCGGTTCTCGGTTGCATGGCCTCGAATTGTGCCAACTGGTACTTTCGCAGATGGGGTGAACCAGGAGGGTGTCCAGTTCTACCACAATTTGATTGACGAGCTGATTGCTGCTGGTGTCACGCCAATCATTACTATGTACCACTGGGATCTTCCACAAGGACGGCTTCTAGCTTTGGTTGTTGTCGTTGCTTGCAGCCTAATACTGCAAAGTTGTGCTTTCAGGACTGATGCATTTGGACTTCGAGACACCGAATGAGCCCTGCAATGGAGGCAAAGAGGGCTGGTACGAGTGTACAATGGGTGCAGATGGGAAGCCAAAGCCCAACGGCCTTAGCTCAAACATTGTCAAAGAGTTTACAAACTTCGCAGAGCACCTAGACAGCACACAAGAAGTTTCTCTTTTGCGCTGATGTCACTGATGTCACTAAGCCTTTCTCGTTTCTCAAGCGCTGTTGTCGTCAGGTTCCTGTTGAAGGAGTACGGCTCCAAGGTGAAGCTGTGGGCAACCTTCAATGAAGCCTACACTTTCACCTACCTAGCAAGTGGATACGGCAAGGCACCTTCCGCGCAGCCCTACATGGACATGGCCATCTGGCCGTATGTGGCTGGACATAATGTAATTCTTGCTCACCTGAGCGCAGTCATGAAGTTCAGGGAGTTCCAGAAGTCAGGCGTGCTGTCAGCGGAGCACAAGATCTTCATCACCAACAACCAAGACTGGCGAGAGCCCTTTTCCGACTCGAAGCAAGATATCGCTGCTGCCCTTTATCAGGTTGAGACGCAGCTGGGCTGGTTCTGCGACCCTATCTACGGTGTGGACGGGGTATTTGACTACCCATATTCCATGACTTCTACCTTCCCATACATGCCTTCGTTCACAGAGGAAGAGAAGGAGCTTCTGAAGCAAAACCGACCAGATTTCTTTGGCTTGAATCACTATGGGACAAGCTTTATCAAGGTGGTGGAGGGGAAGAGTGTTGTTGTTCATGGTGATTTGGTGCAAGGAAAGTCATCCTGGCTCTTTCGTGCCGCCTGGGGCTACCGGAAACTCTTGAACTGGATCAAGAATCGTTATGGGCAAGAGTTGGAAATCTGGGGCACAGAAGCCGGTTGGAGCGACGGTGCTCACACAAGTCTTGAGTCAAAGGAAGACTCTGGCCGTTTGACATACTATTATACGTACATCTTGGAAATGCACAATGCTATTTACAAGGACGGCAGTACCAAAACTTGTTGAAACCAGCTGAAGAAGCATGTCTGCCCCCTTCAATCTTGCATGCCGAAAATGTTTCTGTTGCTAGGATGGAGTGAACATGAAGGGCTTCATGGCCTGGTCGCTCATGGACAACTTTGAGTGGGAGATGGGCTACTCGGAGCGTTTTGGTTGCTTATTCGTTGATCTCCACTTCGGTGAGGATCCAAACGCCCCTACCACAGCGCCCAAGTCTGCATTATGTTGTATGCGGTGAGCCTTGCTGCCAGCATGAGGCAGCATCATGGTAAATTGTGCAGCTGAGGAGAGTCCTATTTACAATGCCTATTCTGGCAAGCTCGATGGACTCTGTACTGAGTGCGACGACCCTGGTATCAAGCCAGGCTATGCAGAGGCTTCGAAGCAGACACGGCACATCAAGAACTCCGTGCTCATGCACCTTGGATGAATTCTGCATCTAGATCCCACTTGTGTCACGAAGCCTGCCTTTTCCATGGTCGGGGTGAGGATTTGCATGCCAACAGCAGAATGTCAAGAGTCTGTGTGGTGCTCGCGCTCAGGATGATGTCGCTGTGGAAAAACAATGCTCTGCCCAATTTTGAGGAGTTCTTTGCAGCTGCAACTGTGCCTGATATATGTTTTGGGGACGGCAAAGTATCTACAGCAAACGGCGATGTCCAATGCTCGTGGGACGCGATGTCGTCCCTCACCGTGCCGGCGTAGCTGGGTGATGCCATGCCAAAACTACGGCATGTGTCCGCAAAGACGGGCTCACGCAGAAATCATTAGGCAGTGTGCCACATGCGCGCACGAGAGATAGCAACCTGCATTAGCAGCGCATTCTAAAAATGAACTCCGTTTGAGGAGCTTCAACAAAGTGAAGCTTTCGAGTGAGTGCGGCCATGGTCGCATCCTTTGGTGTTCTTCAGGTAGGTGACTCACACCCCAGGGAGTAAGTTGTAAGACGCTGTGCAGACTGAGCAGCGATGCTTGCAGCTTTGCAGCCTCACCGAGGTTGACTTAGTGTTTCTCAAGCACTTAGTGTCCAGCAACAGGACTAGGCGCAGCGGAGAATCTGTTGTGGCAGAGGCACTGTTGTTGACAAAGGCAACTGTCGTCAATTTGTGTGTTCAATCTGCTAGAGCTCTCTATTGGCAGCGAGCGCCTCATGCTTGGCTTGGGAAGCCGATGCCGCCCGGTAAGCGGGTGCTGCGACGTCCTGCTGCCCAACTGAAGCAGAGGCAGATCTTCGAAAAGTATCGTCAAGCATGTAAAGCTGACTGGTCAAAGCCACAAGAACGATCAGCTGGAATGCCATGATGGAATCCTGATATCGGTGATGAAACGATGCCTTGTTCATGATTTCTTGTGTTTGAACTGACTAATGTGCCGAGAGGCCAGCAGCAGCCGACCACCTCCCCCGTGCGGTGGTGCTTAACCTGAAGCGCAGGCTGGGATGTGCTTCTTGATAGATCCAGGTGGCATGTCCCGGCATGTCGCGGCATGTCCTTGGGGACCTGTGCAGTTTCCTTGAGTGCGGACCAGAACCTTGAGAGCTGCTCCGTGCGTGACAGCGCCTTTCGCACCACAGGATGCCGGAGGCACTGTCACACATCCGACGCAACAAAGTGAAAGCAAGGGAAATTATTGCAGGACTTTCATCAATTCTCGTTGTCAGTTCTGCCAGATCTTGAAATGATAAAGCCGGAGGCCCGATAATCCCTTTTCAAGCTTCAGTCCTAGTGCTGGCTTTCCTACTTTCTGGAAAAAGCGCATTCTCTGAGTAGGCTCAGAGGCCTCGTCCAAGAGCACAGCAAAGTGGCCAGGGGCAACTTTAATCAATCCAGCCAAAACACTGCCTGACCTCCTGCCTTGGAGGCAGAAGACTCCAGATTCATGGTGTAAAGCGCACGATGACGAGCTTATGTCAATGATTTGAAGGGCCAACTGGCTGTGCATGTACTGTGCCCCTGGCTGTTCAGGCCAGATCGTTGGGCCGAAGTGCAGACACGATTGGATCGAGTTCAAGGCAGGGCTTTCACATCTGCTGTCAGTGCGAATTATGCCGTCCTCTTGCAAAAAGGCTCTGGCTTCGAATTTGTTTCACAGTTTTCCTTAACGTTCGGGGATTTTTGGGCAACGTTTTGCACTTACTGGGTGCCATGCCATGCCGGCATGAACAACTTTCTAGAGGTTTCCCCTAGAGTTGCTCTGCAACATCAGCACACCATTGTAATGACGTGACCTCTGAACTCCCTATAATTGCTGAAAAAACTTGGGTCTTTGGCATTTGCATGGTCATGCTGAGCTGGATCTTTTCTTCAATTGGGGATGCATAGTGTGCCGGCTGCTCGCCAGTGAAACAGCAGAAATTTTGCCTTTGCAGGTCTCTTGTTTGACCGCCTGCAAGCTGTGGATGGGCGAACAGATGAGATTGATGAGGGCGTCTTGGCATATCACAAGTAGCAGGGCAAGCATCTGACGGGCTTCTTTAAATCTGAATGCGAGAGGAGTCACCGTGGCGGCTTGTGTCCGGCAAGCTGTAGGCTAGGTTCACTGTCTTTTCTATTGTGTAAGAGGGAAGTGCGTTACTGCTGCAGCATAGGCAGGCCAGCCACATGAGTTCTGGTTATGGCCTGCAGGGGAACATGCATATTTGCATAGTTGTGCAGGGATTGGAGCCTATACAATAATTGTTTCTCAGGAGAGGTCGCGACAACGTGGTCCACTGCAAGCAATTGGAAGTATGTGACGAGGCCGTAATTAGGAAGTCCTGTCTGAAGCATAATGTGTTCTTGTATTGGGCAGTACAGGTCGTTTGCATTTATATAGCATGCCAGCTCATTTGCAGGGTCTTCGAGGGAGGAGAGGCGTGTGGGTATTTGGTGAAGGCTGCGCGCGTCGAACCCTTGCCTTCATGACATAACTTCGGCCATGCGTCATTGCGGGCAGGAGCTATGCCTAAGTCAAGGAGAACGCGGTTGTGCAGCATCGCATGCTGCTAGGCTGACCATTGGCCAGAAGGATTGGAGAATGTAAGAGCAATAGTAATAGTAGTAATAATAGTAATTATAATCGTAACAGAAACAGTAATAAGTAATAGTGGCAGTAAGAGTAAGAGTAACAGCAGTAATAGTAGCAATAGTAGTGATAGTAGTAATAGTATTAATAGTAGTAATAGTAGTATTAGTAGTACTGGCAGTAATAGTAGTAATAATAATGATAACAGTAATCAAAAACGGTAATGATAGTAATAATCGTATCCTTTTTGGAAGTCAAGGTCAAAGCTTGGCGTGCTTGTGCTGCAAATAAGCTGCCGTTGATCGTTCTCGAGGACGTAGGCCGTGCCTTTTCGATTCTCTGATTGGCCAGTAGCCTTGTTGTTGGATGCAGGCTTTGATGACCGTTTGTGCAGCAGCAAGCTTATGAATGGGCCGTGGTCTTTGAACTTATAGTAGAGTAGAGCTGTTGCCTCGTCAGGGTTATGCCTGGCCTATTCAAAGCTTGCTGAGAACTTGCAACCCTACTAGGACACAAAATGCAGCACCTCCTGCAGGGCTCAGTGCACTGTCCCACAGAGTGTATGAGAACGTGTAGAAATGTTGTTTGAATCGGCAGGATGATGCGAAGCCGACCACAAAGTTTAGTGTGGTTTTGCGTGGCTTGGTTGCACGCTGCTCCGCAGGCAATTTCGTTCAAATTGAGCAGCTTTTGACACGCTCGACGGCTGCTGAGGACAAGCGTTGTGCGATTTAGATGGCCAGGCCAGCGACTGATTTGCCTTTGTCTTGGGTTTTGCAATTGCTGATTTACTCTGTTCGTTCAATAAGTCCAGGGGTGCAAAAACAAAGATTTCACAACAACCTTTTGAGAGTGGGCTCAGTGGACAATCAATCACATATCGTCTCAGTTCAGCTGGGAGAACATTCTTTGTCAGGATCCCGGGATTCTGTACTTGGGCTACTCAAAGGCGGCTCCGTGGCGTCGCACCTTGGGGCGATTTCGGGCAGTATTTCTCAAAAAGGGCATTGTTACCTTCCGGTACATTTGGTAGGCGCAAGGTTGCGATGGAATGAAGAAATTCTTCAAAATATTTCTTCACAGCTAATGTGGAGCCGTTTTTGTTGGACTGGCGGTTGTAGTGTGGACCTCTTGGCAAGTGCAGATGTAAAAGTGCAGCAGCTGCAGCTGAGGAAAAATAAGTGCCGTGGTACGTGAGGCAGAATATCTGTGGACGACCGTGGCCTATGTTTTGTGGCCAGCTGGTGCAACGACGCTTCTCAGTTCATTACCTGGTGCCCTGACAGCAGGAGCTTCAACATGCGCACTTTGTCATGGAAGGGCCCTTTACGATGCCACGTTTAGAAAAGTTGTATGGCATAGACCTCGTCCTTGCTAGACATGGTGGCCAACGGCACAGCGATCGAATCAAGCATCAGTGCGAGCAAGTAGTCAAAGTAGTCGTCGGCTCAAGAAGCCGACGGACTGCCCAGTGGATGTCGATGGGGCCGCATCGCTGGAAGGCGAGGAGGCCAGTGTTCAAGGCATCGGTGAGGTGGGAAGACGTGGAGGAGATTGTTTGCCCGCGGCGCCGTGCAAAATTGCAGCAAGAGCCATGTGGTTGCAAATCGTCGACGCAGGGGATGCTTTACTGCAGGTGGACACAGGGATCCGACCCGAAGCGTGGACAGAGACCAGTCACCAACCCAAACCGGTTCATGGCTTCTGGTTGTGCACATGGCAGCCGGGATAGCCAGTGAAGACGGTGCGGGCATGACTGGGTTATCTTGTTGGCCTCATTCGCCCTGAGGCATGCGCGACGATTGCACTGTCTTGTCACGCGTAGCTGCTAGGGGTCGCATAAAATTTCCGAGGGTGCCAAGAGTGGATGGAGTTGAGGCCTGTGCGTGGAGCATGAATTGTCTGGAAACATGGTCGATGGCGCCAATGGCATCGACGGAAATGATGTTGACTCGTGTGTGTGTGTGTGCCTTTTGTAGCAGCTCACTGCAGGCGCATGACTGCTTCAGTTCCATGGCCTTTTTGAAGGTCATGCTGACGCGGGAGGATGCGGGAGGCATTTTCTCGCCGGGTCTGGCACGGGGTGTTTGGCGAGCGTGCGGCCGACGCTCAACGAATCCCAACGACAAGAGCACGCACGCGGCTCAATTTGCCCAGATTGACAGAAGCCGGAGGCCAGCACTGACTACCTCTGGCAAAGTTGCTACTGGGGGCGGTCGATGCGTGCAGTGGTGTCAGCCATTTCTAGGAAACCTTCTGGCGGACGTACACCGCACACGGTACGTGCCAAACAGCTGCCTGTCCGCGCCCACCGGCCCGCGCCACCAGCCAGCCAGCTACGCGCCACCCATCCCAGCACTTTGGGAAGACGGACAAGTCCCCGCATGAAAAAGGAGTTTATCCCACAGCGGCACTTCAAAGCCATGGCGTGTTGACACATCATGTTGGCAAAGCAGGGCAATGTGCGACGCATGGGCAGCACGGGCAGTCGCCGAGTTGCTGCAAGGTACGCCTTGGCTGTCAGTGCGGCATTGCCCCGAACATAGGCAAAAATGCGATTTTACAGCCACAAGGTCACACGGATGGCCCGCCCATGCCCGCGGAATTTGGCCCCGAGATTTTGCTCAGCCTGTCCCTACCTCCGATTTGTTGAGGCATTGGGGCAACGGGCAGCTCGACCCTACTTCCGTTTGAATGGTTTTTCCCCCTCAAGTCCATACGGTCTGTTCCGCAATTTGCCTGTCGGATTGCCATTTATGGATTGCATGGCTCGACCCTACCTCCTTTTTGCTGAGGTGTTGGGGCAGCGAGCATGCACTGACGTTGCACAAGCTTGAGGCGCTCATACAACCATACCGACTTTATGGGCAATATGGAAAGTGAGATGCCCGAAATCCTGCCTTCCAAGACTGGTGGCTACACAGCCCGTCCCTACCTCCGATTTGCTGCGGGGTTGGGGCAACGGGCAGCTCGACCATACCTCCGTGTTGTTGAGGTGTTGGGGCAACGAATCCAATGTGTCATAGCGCTCGTGTGCTTTCTTCGCCGTGTGAGATAGACAAAGTGGAACATGTAGTCTTGCGTTGTAGGTAGTCTGGAATCATGTGGAATCATGTAAATCGAAACGGCTTGTCAAGGTTTGGCTTCACCAAGACATAGCAGATGTTACGAAGCCGGAAATGACATGTACGACAACATATTGACTGCATGTCCGCACTTGTAGCTGCAACATGTTCCTGTCCCATGTCTGGCTTGATAGCACTGCGATATGTCTGCCCTCACCAAGCTGCGCAAGGAAATGCGTAATAAGAGTTATCAGATACTTCTTGTCATTGCACGCACGTCAGGGTGATCAGCCCTGATATCGGCATTTGCCGTGGCAGCTTCGTCGGACCATGGCGCACAGCAAATGGATGGTCCCCCTGCCTATCATGAAGCCAGTTGTTTGCAAGAAGAGCTAGAAGAACTCAAGTCGTTGAACAACAGCAGCAGCAACAACAAAAAGGAAAGCTTTCCCCCCTTCAAGTCCCACATGCATTCTGCCTTGCAATTCGCCTGGTGGATTTTCATTCATGGACTGAGTGGCTCGGCCCTGTTTCCCTTTTTGCTGAGGCATTGAGGCAAGGTTTGCACTGATGTTGAACAAACTTGAGCCGGTCAAACAGCCATGCAATACAGACTTTACGGGCACTATGGAAAATGAGATGCCCTAAATCTTGCGTTTAAAGATTGATGGCTACTCAGCCTGTCCCTGCTCCTTTTGATTTGCTGAGGCATTGAGGCAACGGGCAGCTCGACCGGACCTGCGCTTGCTTAGGCGTACAATCCATGATCGATACCTATTCAGCACGTCTTTACCTCCGATTTGTTGAGGCTTCGGGGTAAGCTCCGGGTACGGACGGGTTAAACAGTTATCCATCGTGGACGGCAGGCGTTTGAGCGACTCGTCGTTTCTGATGTGAACTTGCGTGGAACGAAAGTTCACGACATCGGCAGTTTTCCCAGCTCGTTTCCCCAATGTCTCAGCAAAATGGAAGTAGGTCAAGCTGCCCGTTAGCAAGCCTTCGAAGATGATTGGTATTTTCAAACCCCACAAATCTGCGGGCACTTGACTGTTTGACCCATTGTTACCTCCGTTTTGCTGAGGCGTTGGGGCAACGGGTGGCTGGTGGCTCGAGCCATCGTCTGGATTGCTGAAACATTCAGGTAGTGAGCTTTCATATGCAGAAAAATGATAAGCCTAATGGCTGTGCGATCATGTGGGCGATGACCTGCGCTGACAATTGCCCTAGCCATGCGTCCACATTGCTGATGCATTGTGCCGACGGACACCATGACTGACCTTGACCCCATCTCCACTTTGACGAAAGACTTATGCACCGAATTTCCATCTACGGTATGGACTATGGGACGGTTGCTCGACATATGCCTCGCAGACGCGTATTTAGTCAACTCTTGACTGCAGCCTTCTTGATGCAATTGTTACAGGATTGTGAATTACGCCAATGGACAGCATCTGATTTTGATCATTTAGAGTGAACTTGTTCCTGTTCTTTTCGTGACATCCGGATATCCCATTTGCGCAGAGATTCTCCATGGGAGAGGTGTTTCGGAGGCTCGTCGCGCGAACGCTGGCGCAAGAATTCAGTGTAGCGTCCAGAGACCAACACGCACTCAGCACGCGGGCTGGGTCAGGGGCACTCATCCATGTTGTGCGCGCAGCAGTTGAGGCGGACCCGCACACGACAATGTTCAGCATTGATGGGGTGGGTGCGTAGACGCACATATCCAGAGCCAGCATACTCACAGCGCTTCGCGATCAGGCCTCCGTGGCAGGCCTACAGCCTTTCCCCTTGCTGTTCTACGGCCAGACCGGTGGGTACTCCCTCTACCATGGCGAGGGCCGCAAAGACACGAGATCCTCGAAGTGGAAGGGGGGGAACAGGGGGGCAACATGCTGCCTTGCTGGACCGCTGGAGATGGCGGCCCGACTGTCACTGTAGGCGACTACTTGTACACGTTCGTGGATGACGTGTGCACCACCACCAAGCCGGAACAGACCTTGGCACGCTTTGTGAGCATTCCAACGCTGCTTAGCCCACCATGCTAAAGTCCAAGTGCACTTGGGGAAGACGAGCGTCGAATGCCGCGGGCGAGGAATCACCTGAGCTCCCTGCCCGGGGAATGCGGACCCCGCCAACGGGAAATTGGGTTCAGCCAGCGGAGCGACAGGGCCTGATCGAGCTGGGCAGCCCCTTTAGCCCGGTTTTTCTATCACGAACGTTGTTGCTGTCCTAAAGTAGCGAGCTGCGTCCTGACCACAAATCCGTCGTGCCCGGAATTTGATGTCCGTATAACGACGATGAATTTCGGAATGTCCCGTTACGGAGGCTCCGGCTACCACTGCCCCTCGCCCCACGGCGTTGTCATTGCGGCGGCTACGCCCTTGGCGGCGGCCGCTCAGCTTGCGCACGGGTATGCATGGGCATAGGCGTCCTCGCACACACAGTGGGGCCGCTAGAGCAAGGCAGCCGCGCGCAGATGCCGTGAAGCGGGGGCGCGGGTGGCAACTCATATCGCGCTGCGCGACATGAACCCGGATGCTCCCATCGCTGATGGGCGGCGGATCGACGTGTCACAAACGGCATGCACTTGTGGCGAGGACAGCCAAGGTCGCGGCCGATGCGACCACAGCCAGGAAAAGGGGTCCGGCCCGACTGGACGGACAGCTGAGCAAGCGCAAAAATCCGACGGAAAAAAAAAGACGGGCAACCGCGACCCCGTGCAGCGCTTGGCATGAAGATGGGCGGACGCCACTGCGTTTCTGCGTCGGTGGCTTGAGTGGGGGCCAGGCAGCGGGTGCCATGGGCGGCAGAGGTCACCAGGCGGGCGCTGTACAAGAGGTAGGATGATGAGGTGACCACGGACCTCCTCGCAGATGCCCGGGTTATATGCGCTCAAGCAACACATTACCTTGCGGGAGATTGCGGCCCGGCTGTCACGTGGCGACAAGGTGTACGCGTTCTTGGATGACGTGTACATCACCACCAAGCCGGCACGGACCCTGGACGCTTTGCGAACATCCCAACATTGCTTGGCCTGCCACGTTCACGCTCACGTCCATCTGGACAAAATGCGAGCGTGGAATGCTGCCGTCATCCGGGCTCGCAACTGCGTTGTCCGCTGGCCCGGCCAGGGCGGGGAGCTGGGCCGGCTTGGTCGCGCTAGGCAGCCCCGTAGGCAGCCGGGCTGTCGTTCAGTCAACGCTCAACCGGTTCCGCAGCAAACACGACGAGCTCTGACAAAGGTTTCCGGAGCTCCCGCACTTGCAAACAGCCTGGCTGCTCTTTCTCTAATCCTCCTCTATTGTGGAGGCCT